GCATACAATGCCTTTTTAACTACTTAGTATCCAGGAAGTACTTGAGAAAAACCCAAAAGCATTCTGTTTTCTAGTTACATTTAGGTTGTGGTTAAGTTCCTTGAGCCCATGTTTTGATGAATCAAAGCAGCTTTGATTGCTGAACAATGTGAGAATAAATAAAAAACCCAAATAAATAAAATTTTAAACCTGCAGTTTTAGAAGATCAAATGTGAAATACTTGAAAGTGCACTTTTCTCAGAAGGTGTTGCACAACTAATCTGTCCTATTAAAAGGAAACATTCATTGTTCTTATTGTGAATCGTAGAACGATTGGAATTCAGTTTGATCTGCTGCTCAGAGCAGTGTTGACACTGAATTCAGGCAAAGTTGCTTAGGACACCCTGCTCCAATAATAGAGCAATTACCCTCATAGATAAATTTCTGTGTTTTCATATTCTTCATCTGTCTAGTCTTTCTAATTTGTCTTCTTTTTCTGCCTTCTCTTCACTTTCCAACTTGTTCTGCATACTCCATCCCGATGTTGCACCTTCTTCATAACTCATACTTCCATTTCCTCACTGGACATCATTAACTTGTACCTAATTGCCACCTTCCACTTCACTCTCACTTCTGTTGGTCCAGTTTCTTCTTCCTGCCTTTCTGCCACTTCCTCTGTTTTTGATAGATGTTAGAACTGGAAGTTATTGAAGAATGAAGATTTTCTGCTCTTGGCCCAGTCTCTAGTCTTGTTTGAGTCAGGATCAGTAATTCAAAGAAAACTGGATGTTGTTCCAGTAGCCCTAGATATTCTCAGTTATCCATATGCAGTCTTGGGAGGTGAGGGAGCTTGCCTACTGCCAGCAGAAGCTTGGGAGATTTCATCTGTTAATCTTTGAGGTCAAAAATGAGTATACACAAACTGAGACTTCTGTCAAGTCTCAGAGCTTTCCTGTAATTAGAAAGATTCTATGAAAATGGTAAATGGACACCCGGCACATGATAAATGAACACCTGACACATGCAAAATTTTCCTTGCCCTAAATCAGGGAACACTAGGGCTTTTAAGAAGAATAATTAGTCACCACTACAGTGATATATATATATTTTTTTTTTTTCTTCAGCTCATTCTTGGTCATGGCTTAACTTTTTTTTTTTTTAAACTTAAAAACGTAAAAACACTCCTCAGTATGAGGCAGTTGCCATAAGTTTCAACTATAACAAGTGATTTCAATTAAATTATGGGCAACTCTAAACAGACTTCTGAAGCGAATGTCAGCTAATCTTAGTAGGATGTGCAGCCAAGATCTTTCATAAACAAAGGAATTTCTTTTTCAATTTGTTTGTGATAATGAAAATATTTAAAAAAAAGTTTTAGATTCCTTTCCTCTCTGGTCTGGAATAGAACTCCACTTTTCTCACCTTGTTGCTTGGCTTGATGCAGCAGGGCCTCTCATCCTGAAGGACTGATGAGGAACTTCATAACTATATGCATCTTTGTATTTCTGTTGTAGTGTCTGAAATTGAAAATAATACATACGTGTGCCTCCATGTTGCACTGTTGTGTTTTGTTTTGGTTTGTTTTTTTTCCTGGCTCTATTAAGCAGTTTTACTGTGTTCTTAATTTCTTGTTCTGTCTTGGACTTTAGTGGGTTGGAATGTGAAGGTCAGATTTTGAAGACTGCAAATTATTTTTGTTTTGCCTTCAGTCCTTCAAAAGACAGTGTTCCTTACTTAATGCAGTTGAGTGTTTCTCCTGTTTTTCCCAACTTTCTGGGTATGATCTAGTAAAACATGAAAAAATTTTGCTCAAGTTTGACATTGACTCAGTAGACATTCCAGTCTAATCAGGTTTCTGTTTCATTCGTTTGGGATTTCTTTGGTTGTCATTCTGGAATTTCTTTGATAATTTTGTCAGGATGGGTGATTCGAAGCTATTGACAGGTTCCTTTTCTTGTGAAAACTTTCAGGGTTCTAGGCATAGTGTTATGTGATTTATTCTGGTCAGAGGTAAAAAGTGGAACAAAAATTATTTTCACAATTTCAGATAGGTCTAGATGTCCAGCGCGAAATAGAAGTGCAAAGCTGACCTATTCCTTTTAGATAGTGTAAGATGTATTTCTTTTGATCTTTCATTTTTGGTCTTTTAAAACACGACTATATAATTATTTAAAGACAGCACCACAAACACAAATCTTCCCTATCATCCCAGAAATAATGCCCCCAAAACAGACAGAGGAGGGTGTGGAACTGTGTGTATTTCTCAGTCAGCACTTATATGAGCCCAGATTTACAAAGGGCATATGTAGACTCAGAGAATAATTTAATTTGGAAGGCTCCTGGGAAAGTAATTTGCAGTTCAGGCCCTTGCTCAAAGCAGGGGTAACATTGCAGTTGGATTCTACATCTGACTGTAGATCTGGCAATCTGTTCCAGAGCTTAACCCTTCTTATTCTGGAATTTTTTCACCTCATCTCTAACTGAAATTTTCCTTGTTCCTACTTCTGACTGTTGCCTCTTCCCTTTTCGTATTGTATTTCTGAGAATGCAGTGTCTATTGCCAACTTTTCTTTAATCCTGCTCCTTTTTACATATTGAAAGATGTTACCACTTAGCATTATACTCCTAAAGTGAGTACCAAGACCTTGGTGAAGGGAATTCATAAATCTGATAAATCTTGATAAATCTTCTATAAATAGAAAAAATTTAACCCCTGAGAATGCAATTTATGATACTGAGTAGAGAGGCACATAAGAGTCTAGAGAAACAGCAGGAAGAAAGGGATATGTGAAATCTTAGCTTTCATGCAGATGAGTGCAGCCGTGTTCAGGACTGAAAGATGCACCTCTGTGTGTTGAGGCCATGGAAAACACTCTTGAGTGTTAAGGTGTCTGTTACATCAGAGTCTTACTCTCCCTCTTTAGAATGCAGGTTTGAGACATAACTAATGTAAGAGGCTATAATGTTTATAAATTGGTCAGCACGCTACTGATAAACCCATGAACAGATTAATTAACTAATAAAGATATGACTATCAATCACGGTTCTATAACTCTTTACACTATTGCTAATTGCACACAATTATTGAGTTACAATTCTATCACTTTGTTCTTATAAATTGCATCCAAATATTGAATTACAGTTCTGTAACCCTTCACTTTAACCTCCCACATCATTTAGTAACAAATTTGCAATTCTGCCAACCTCTAACTTCTTGCATGAAGTCTTTCAGGCGTAGACCCAGTGGAGAGTCCAATGGGGTTTCCTTCCCTCTGATATCCTGACAGCCTTGGTTAATGAAGCAGGTTAGCTTTGTTATAGTCGGTGGGCATCTGCACTCCTTCTTTCAAAAGATCTGTCCTCTCTTGTACTTGAACTGCTTTTACAACTTGTTCGTTATTTCTTACATTTCTAGGCCTTTCTGTATCCCTTTCTGTGCCTAGTCTCCTTTCGAATATATAAGTTGTCCCTTAATTATTCTTTCCCCATCGGTCCCATTTGCTACATCCATTCCCAGATTTTGTATTTCTAAAACCACTGAGAGCAGCCCTGAGGAAAAGGACTTGGGGGTGTTGGTTGATGAGAAGTTCAACATGGGCCGGCAATGTGCGCTGGCAGCCCTGAAAGCCAACCATATCCTGGGCTGCATCAAAAGAAGCGTGGCCAGCAGGTCGAGGAAGGTGATTCTGCCCCTCTGCTCTTGTGAGACCCTACCTGGAATACGACATTCAGCTCTGAGGCCCTGACATAAGAAGGACATGGAGCTGTTGGAGCAAGTCCAGAGGAGGGCTACAAAGATGATCCGAGGGCTGGAGCACCTCTCCTATGAAGACAGGCTGAGAGAGTTGGGGTTGTTCAGCCTGGAGAGGAGAAGGCCCTGGGGAGACCTTCTAGCAGCCTTCCAGTGCCTAAAGGGGGCCTACAAGAAAGCTGGAGAGGGACTTTTTGCAAGGGCATGTGGTGATAGGACAAGGAACAATGGCTTTAAACTGAAAGAAGGTAGACTTAGATTAGATAAAGGAAGAAATACTGTCCACTGAGGGTGTTGAAACACTGGAACAGGTTGCCCAGAGAAGTTGTGGGTGCCCCATCCCTGGAAGTGTTCAAGGCCAGGTTGGATGAGACTTTGAGCAACCTTATCTAGGAGAAGGTGCCTCTGCCTGTGGCAGTGGGATTGGAACTAGATGATCTTTGAGGTCCCTTCCAACCCAAACCATTCTATGATTCTGTGATTTCCTAGGTACTCTTGATCTTAAACAGTATTGCCGATGTTGTTACTTAGGTACTGATGGATTTGCAATATTCTACCTTGCAAAAGCTGCTGAAGGCTCCCTTTCCGCTATCTGCTTAATATTAATTGCACAGTCTTTATTTTATATACTTTCTAAGACCTGTCAGTCTACTTCAGCCTTTTTTCCTCTACCTGGTTTTGATTAAGTATGCTTTATCTCTATTCCACTTAGCTCTTTCTGGGTTTATATGCAAGTGGCACAGATACCAGGGCAGGAAATACCTTTATGTGCAATGGCTTCACCAGCAAGGGCGTAATCTTTCTCGAGCAGCACTATCTCAGAGTTGATCCTGAATCCAGATTGCCAAACTTCCAGGAAGGGTGGATGCTCTTAGCTGTCTTCCAGTACTCTCTCTCTCAGATGTTCCATCAAAAATCATCAGCCTTGGCATCTACTGATCTTCTACCTGTTTTCAGTGGAGACCTCATCCTGTTATAGGATCCAGTACATGGGCAGAACCTATTGCTGTCAATGTCAGTCCTCCCTTAGATTAAGACCAGATACTTTTCTGTTCTTTGAAAAGATGGTTGGAAGAGAAGAAACTGATGGAATTTAACAGTGTCAAACATTAACTCAAATTTAAATGGTAGGTTTTCAGTTATATCTTGCATATATGTTTGGAACTTTAGTAGTATTTATTAATCATCAATTCTGATAAATATAACTTGCATGAGTTAAACTTTTACAAGACTTTTTAAAATGTGTTTCTCTCTCTTTCTTTTAGTATCTCCTGAAGCAATTGGATTCCTGTCTGCTGTTGGGGTGTTCATTGTTCTCATGTTGCTACTTTTCCTATATATTAATAAGAAGATGTGCTTTGAAAATGTTAGTGGTTTCCCAGATCTTGATTCAGGATACACTACAAGAAAGAATTCACAAGATAAACTTTGTAAGTATCTGAAATTTAGTGTACTAAACTTAATTATAAGAATGCACATTTTTTACAAGGATGTGTAGAAATACACAAATAATCACTTGACTCAAGTGATGAAAACACACAGTGTTGACATTTCCCGTGACTGTGCAGTACATGGAAAGGAAGAAGCTTATATTCACAAGCCACAGAAATTCAACAGCTGTATAACCAAAGAGTTGACATTTACTTATGGGAAGGTACTTCTCTTGCACTATGAGAATACTCTTGAACGTATTTTAAATGTTCTATAATTGTGTATAATTAAATCTTCTAAATTTGTGAATGGGATTATTGCATTTTCACTCAGCCTGTTAAAATCCTTCACCAGCCTTGTGGTGAAGGTCTTGCCTTTACTCACCTGGAAAATAATTCTGAAGTAAAACATTAGAAACTGAAGACATCTGATCTCTGACTAACAAATTTTTTCTAAACTTTTTTAATAGAACAAGGTCTTTAAGGATAATACGAAATGAAAAACAATTAGACCTCAAAAAAGATATTGAGGGTTGGTAAAATAACCCCTTTCTGCTTTTGGGCTGTGGAAATTGAATGGGCTTTGTTAGATGACTTGAGAGGAAGAGATTGGCACCGGAGAACAGAATGGGAAGTTTGAGAAGTTGTCTTCCCTTCTACAACTTTAAAAGGTGCAGCTTAATTTTAATTTTAAATTTTCTTGGAGGCAGAAAATGTTCTCCCTGGAAATTGAGTTTGTCATCTTTACTTTCATTTTGCTATGAAACAAGTCTTCATATTCTGAAATATCTTACCTTATGTAAAAGTCAACAAATATTTTGGGGTGAAGAAGTCTCCGTAGTGCATGTTTTTGTAGAGCTATTATGTTGAAAGCTTGTTTTAGTGTGGCATTGATGGATGAAAGGACATAATTTAAATGTCTTACAACTTCTTTGTAGGTTAGAATAAAAAAATCGTATTTGCACCTCACACTGTCTTATTTTTGAAAATAAATTTTTTTATGGTCAGTTGATGCTGCAGTTGATGAAAGACTATGGTTTTGCTGGTTGATCATGGCTTCATTTCAAGATATTTACTTAGCTGCTTTCTTATTATTTTCAATGCATATTGAATGGAAAGACCAAAGCTGCGACTTCCCCTGGTAAATGTATTGAGTTTGAGATAGCAAAAGCAAATAGCTCTGAAATTGAACTTGGAGAAATGGAGTTGATCAGTTTGTGAAACGGAGGACCTTTCTGTATTAAAAGTTGTTGCTGAATAGATTGGAGAAATGGCGTTTTTCAGAAACCTCCACCAAAATCTGAGCCTTCCGTCTGTGTCTTCTCTGGTGGACACGCTTAGCAGTGCCGTGGATGACCTGACGAGTGTTGTTGGAGAAGTTGGCTACAGTGTAGCTGATTCAGTGACAGAACAAGTAACAAGCATGATAAACGGCCTTCGTGCAGAAGATGAAAGCTCCAAAATACAGAATGACAGACCTGTGCAAGGGAGAGAGGAACGTACACCATCATTAACTCATTCTCAGGAAACTAATATGAGAGCGAAGAGAGGTATTGCAGAACATGAAGAGACTCGTTCTAATGAGTTAGCTTCTGTAAAAAAAGATACAAGTCAAGATGGCCTATCTGACCACGTCATGGACAAAAACCAGAGCCAGTTAAAAGGCAGAGATAGTAATAATCATTTAAGTGATACAGAAGTACCTCAGAATTTGAAGAATGTAAGAGGACCTTTTAAAAGGGAAGCAGTAGGAGGAAATGAGTATTTTGTAAATGACAAGTTCTTGAAGGACAGTAACCTGAAAAGTAATAAATTCACAGTGGAGCAATCTACTGAGAAACAAGATAATTGCGTACGTGCAGTATCTGATAATTCTAAGAGTCACTTGCATAAAAAAATCAAACCACGGTCACCTGGAGTTGATTTTAAGGATTCTGAAGAAGTGCACTGCATGAATGTTCCCCAAGATTTAGAAACAAAGCTCGTTGAAGTACAGAAGCAAAAATTTACAGACTCCAGCTTGAAGAAGACACACAATGGCCGTCTCAATTGCATTAATGAATCCAGAGAAAAGGAATCTGAAGCCTTTTTTGATGGAAAATCTATATCAAAGGATGAAGATAATGTGTCACCTACAATTGCAAAAGTTGATAAGAAGAAAAACTCAAAGAAATCAGAAAAGAGTTCAAGAGAGCTATGTAATAAGAAGACAACAGGAAAAGGTGAGGAGTCTGTCAGCAAACTGCCTCTTCAGCCTTTCCTGAAACTTACAATACTTCCTACTTTTTTCACTTAATTTACACATTTAATAATAGTGTTTCCTGTGGATGAAAGTAAGTCTGTGTTGTTAGTGATTCATTCTTTAATTATGTTTATATTTCTTGAAAGTTAATTACTTTTTGAAGTATTACTTAAAGGAACTGATTAAGAAATGCCTTTCCTATGTTCTAACTTTTCTTTTTCTACATACAGTTTTTCTTACCTTCTCTGCAGTGCTTTGTGTGGTTTCTGTTGAAAAATATGGATTAATTAATACTGAAAATTAACACTTGTTCTGTGAAAGTGTTTTTTTGTTTTGTGTATCTTAAAAGCATTGCATAAATTGTGGTAGGATGATGAAGAAAAATAATAACTTCTGTTACATTTACATTATAGTAGATCTTCACAATATATTTCTGGGATATGTAAGATAGCAATTTCAAGATAGAAAACTCAATGACAAGTGGCCATGAAGCGATTTTAAGTATAGAAAGAACTGAATGAGGCTTGTCTTAAAGTTATAGTCTGACAAAGAAAACCTGTGTATTGTTGATAAGGATGCTGTGTGCGCTGTCTTCGACATCCAGTCTTAAACAATATGACAATGGGATTGCAATAATAGTTTGTGAGTAAGAAGTAAAACCTTGCATTTTGACACAGTTTTGCAGGTTATGTAAAGAATTTTTAGAAAGCAACACAGGCTTTTTGATTATGTCGTTTCTGTAGAGAAAGGAGTTATTTCATAATAAAAATCAGGTTTGAGTGGTTTTTTTCAGTATGTATATTTTATCTGAAAATTTCAGTTATTCATTTTGTTGGGTGTTTTTTTTCAGTATGTATGTTTTCTCTTATCTGAAAATTTCAGTTATTCATTTTGTTGAGTTTTGTGGGGTTTTTTGGTTTTGGTTTGTTCTGTTTTGTTTTTTTTTTTAATTTGATTTAGAAGGTGGTTTCCATGTTTGTATGATAAAATATGATCTTTTCTGTTATTTCTTCAAGTCATACAATATTTTTGAAGTATATTCTCTGTCAAAAATGACGTTTTAGGTCCCATCATAAGCAATGAATATCTTTCAATAGATTAGTAATTACATATGACCTTTGTTAGTCAAATAAAGGAAACTTTTTGATAAGAACATGAATTCTCTTAGGCAAGTTTCCCACTAAGATATAAAAATCAAAAGAGAAGTGGCAAGGAGAGGCATAAAACCCTGAGGATTTTTTTTAATGTGAAGGACACTGTTTTTTCCCAGGAAACTGAAATAGATTTGTATCGTTCATTTAAAAAATGTTTGTATGGATAGCTTGTATTTTAACTTTGCTGAGGTTTTTATGTCCTCTGAAGAGGTCTTGTTTCATGGCTTGTAATAGTAGTATACATCCTCATTCTTTTTCTTTTATGCTAGGAACTAAAGAAAAAGTTATTTGGTATCACTAGAACTTCTGGATGCTTACAAATATCAGTGTATTATTAGAGACATAGCTTTCAGCACTAATTTAAAACATGTTTCTGCCATGTTTTATACTATTCCATTCTTTATGCAGACTGATTAATGAACCTCATCTAGTATTTGTGAATACATTTCTTGTGATGATAAATGATGCATCTAATACTGATGTCTGGCACTATATTTTAGTCCTCGTATGCCCTGCTTTAATTATAGTTGTGCAAATCTAGAAGTTTCCCAGGTGTCAGGTTTCAACCTCTTGAGGGCCATATGAGATATAAAGTTTTACTCTGTGTACCAGCAAAGAAGCTTTCTTTTTCTGGGCAGCCTCTTGCAGTGAATCTGCTAGCCAGAATATATTGTACTTGGTGTGATATTTTCAATAAGTGATCAGTGAAATTCAAATTGCTTTGTAGCAATCCGTACAATGGGAAGAACCAGACTTGAATTAAAGTTGATAGCCTAGAGTTGAAAGACCTAGTTACTCGTTAGTAGTCATTCAAGGCACCAATTTTCCTATAAATACTAAATTAAGCTTGCATACACATTGCATGTAGAGCTGGTAGCACCATCTGCAGTTAAAGTTTCCTGACATTTTCCATTTCAAGACTTTATTTTCAGTTTCTTAAAACTGTGTGCCAAATCTGAAGTATTTGGCATGAAATTTGATGTACTTTCTGTTTGAGATTTTTTTGTAATTATTATTATTACTTTTTTTTTTAAGTTATCGTTTAAAATGTTTAGCTGTTTCCAGGAATAGAGTATGGGAAAAACATGCTGGTTATCTGTGCAAAAAGTAAGTAGATTTCACATCTGCTTCACTAAGATGCTTTGGCACCTTTGTATGTCGGAGTATGCGCTTGAAATGTGGGAGAGCATTTTTCCCATGTCAGAGATACCCATGTTCTTCTATGAAAAAACATGTAAGTTTGATCAAGCTGTAAACCTTTGGAGAATTTTCCTCTTGAAAAATCATAGTAAACACTTATAGTTTGCTTGTTAAATTCACTGACCATCCCATGTGCACTCATATGCTTCTTTGTAGGGGTTGAAGAATGAACAGAGCAGGCCTTATCCTGCCTTTGATACTTATGGTTACTGAAGGACATTGGAAGTTTGTACAGAAGAGTTGAGAATAAACATGATTTACGTGAGGACAGAAACTTCCTGAAAAAATGTGACACGATGCAAGTGGTAGACTGGGATTTAAAAGTAGAATGAATGACAGCTATGAAGAGAACTGATAACATTATATGAAGGTGGAGAGACTAAGGATGAAAGACTAAGGTTACATGAGTAGTTGGTTAGGTGCAAGTAAAGAGGATTTGAGATTGAACAGACAAAGAGAATAAAGGAGAAGTCTCCATAAGAGTCCAAACTGAGTGCTTGGAGTAGGAACCTGGAATATTGGGCCGGGAGATGGGAATTTAGGATGATTCTACTCATATAAATGTAATTTTGCAGAAGATGTCCTACCTAAACTTGCAGCATAGGCTTTTCTGTACGAGTACCAGGGAGAAATAGACCTCTACGGGAAGTGACTTTACTCATACTCTAGGGGCTTACCAAAAAGTGGGAAGGAAGGACCTCTGTAGTAGGAAGAAGCAAACACTTGACTGTGAAAGAGGCCTAGATGAATGGTGTAGGTTGAGAAATTTTAAATGGCTGAACTTTGGGTAAGCGGAATCCTTCCTTTAGTTGGAATACAGAGGCAGAGGAGTGAGACTGGCCGGGCGTGAAGACAGAGACTAATGGGAGCAGAAATGCAGAACTAGAGCTAGGTCAGGGACTGGGAGGAGGGCATTAAAAGCAGGGAGGGGAGAAGCGGTTGAGCATGGCTGGATAGCGTATTAGACAGTATTCCCTTGCAGAATCAGGAGCTGAAAAACAGTATTACGGGCATCTTGGAGCTCTGCCGGTGATGGAAAACGATTGGCAAATCATATACCATGGGCTTGCTTGCAGAGTAGTGGTAATGCTGACCTTTACTGAGTTTACATGAACTCTCTTAATGCCTATTAGAGTTTGAGATCTACAGAACCTGTGCATGGCATGTTAAATTTGGACAGAATCCATTTGAGATTTGGAAAAGGCAGGAGGAAGCTTTCCTTTTAGAAAAATAAAAATGCAGCTCAATCTTTGACTTGTGGGAGGAAGTCGTACTTGAGATGTGGTTCGAAAAAGTTGGCCACAGGAGTGAGCATTATAGAGGAACTCGTATAAAAGAATTAACTAGATAGATTCCTCTGCACAGTTTTTGCTGCTGCCAGATGTCTGCAGTGAGAATCTGCATTAATTTCAGTTATTGAACAAGGGGCTGTTTATTGTAAGTTAAATAAAATTGTGCATGCAAACATCTTTCGCTAGCATTTTCTCATTTGTTATTGAGAGTATAAGCACTACTGACATAAACATCCTAAGATGATTTTGTTGTAGGCTTCTCTTTGTAAATCAGTTTCATTTCTATGTTATACTGCATGCTCACAGCAAAAATCAGCTGGGAATGGAGGATGAGGAGCTGCCTTTTTGATATGTTAGGTATCCAAATGTAATACTGCTGCAGTGTTGAATTTACTTTACACAAATTATTTTGAGCGTTTTCTTATTTAATGAAGGGTTTCAAGAACTTCAGTGTGTGCTGCCGTACAATGGATCCATTTGCTGCCATAAATGGATCCATTTTCTGTTGAATAAATTTTAGAATGTTTTTTTTGGACTTAATGATCTTTCAGCTTTTCTAGAAAATAAAAATAGCTCTCACCAATTAGAAAAATCACATAATACTTAAACAAGATGATATTTTAAAAATATTACAGACATTTTAATTGAAATAGCTTAAATATCTTCAGTGATAACCTCTTAGGTTATTTTCTTGTATTCTATTTTGAGCTGTAGTCGATTTGCTTTATTTTATTCAAACAGACAACTCTTATATGAGTAAAGACCAGCATGGTTCATCATCTGAGAGTGAAGATGAAGCACTGGGTAAATATCATGAGGCCTTGTCTAGAACCCAGAGTTCCAGGCTGCCAGTGGTGGATGGCAGACAGCAAAAAAACTATATATGGGAAACCAGACAAAAATATAGTCCCCTGTCTGCAGAATATGATGGATACAGTAGTGAAGCCTCAATAGATGAAGGTAAGAGTGATTTAAAAGCATTCCTTTTATTCCAAATTTCAGAATTATGTTCTGGATAAGTAAGTCCTAGATGAGGACAGCTTGACTTGCAAATAGTCAATGTCTGCAAGAATATCCAGATATCTTTTATATTCCTGCATGCTCCAAAAGAATGGCGCAGACTTGTGCACATTCTTCCAGAAATACTGCAAATGATACAATATCTTGTTATGTTAAGTTTCATACGATTTTATCATTAGTGATTTTATTTTGGGGGGAATTTAAACTGTTTTGATTTAGGAAAGAAACATGGCAAGTCTTGATGAGTTCTGTGGTATTATAAGTAAAAGAAGACATGTTATTCCTCTGTTGATAAGCTGTCATAACAGCACAGTAAATGGAATTGATTATTGGTTATGGTGCATGTGGTCATTGCAGTACGCATTACTGGCATGTTCTGTATTTTTTCTTCTCTTGAATTCATAGAAAGGATTTATTACAAAGATTAGATTAATATAATTTTTCCATGGTGTTAAAAGTTGGATGTAATCAATGGATGTTTTCTTTTGTGGTATATATTTCTTTATTTTAAGTTAGGGTGACACAGAGGCTGAGAATTCTGCTGTCAATATTTTGTCAATATGCTTTTTGTGCTTGAAAATAGCTGTATGTGAGAACTGTGTCTATAGCCATTTTCTATCATTAAAAGTGAGCTTTGGTTGAAGTTACCTAAAAGTCAGATTCTAATATAGATGCTGTACTGTAGTAAGATATTTGTTGGTCTCCCTTTAATATGTTATTTTAGAGATTGATATTTTCCAATAAAAAGTGGATACGTGTAATTAAAAGATGTCTGTCCTTAAACGTTCCATACAGTCCGGAAGTGCTTGAAAAAATTTAGATTTTCTACTATGTGATGTAATTCAATTATGTAAAAGTCTGCCACTGAAATTTGAAATTAGCACATGCTCACTCATGATTCCAAGTTAATACACAATGGGAATAAAAGCTATAGTTGAAGTGAGTTTCAGAGTAAGAGGATTTTTTGATCATCAGAAATTTCTGTTCTTTCCTTAGTTGTTAAATTGCAGGAAGGCTGGGAGTTCCAGCAAGGAGAGAAAGAGATGAAAAGGTGAGGTCAGGTAGTAAGAATCAGTCCTTGGACACTGTGATGGAGAAGGACATCAAGGAACAGGGATAGTGAAAGTATCGTGTTTGGTTTTTATGTCTGCTGGTATCTCTCAGCAGCATTGGTGGGGGGAAATATGAAAGATGAGATTCTAGTCTTCTGTATGGCTTATGTCACTGTTGGAAAGGAGTGGTGATGTATATTAACAGGAGATGGAACTCAGTTGTATTTATTAACAATTAATAGCAAATACAAATTATACAAGACTACTTTCAGATATCCAGAATGTTTGTCTCGTTTCAAACTAGTGAGACTAGTTGTTGAAATAGTCATTGAATGATTCATGTTGGAAGGAACATATGACATTCCTCTTTCTATTTCACAGTTGTTCAGATTTTTTTAATCCTACCTAGTTCATCATCTCAGTGAAAAGTTCTCGCTTCATCTGAGCTTTTTACTTTGACCCAGTCAGACTTAAGCTAAAAAGGTATTGTGCTAGCCTGTATCCAGGTTTTTCATTTGTGTTTGTCTGGGATTTCTTTTTGTGTGTTTTTTTTCTATTATTATTTTAATTTTTCTTTGTTTTGTGGTGTGTTGTTGTTTTTTTTTTTAATAGTTGTCTTCCTCATCATTTTCTCAGATCATCAAAATTCATAGTCACTGACTTCTGTCCTCTTCTGGGGAGTGAGAACTCCAGTCTGGAAATCTATATCATGGTTAGAATCTAAGACAAAAGAATACTTGGCAAGTCCAAGTATTGCATCGGGAAAGTTACAATTGTTTCCCCTCTCCTCCTTTTTAATTTTTTCTTCTCTTGCTAAAGATATGTCACCAGCTGCTGTCCCTTCTCAACAC